TCTATTTATATCAAATGGCAGGTTATATGATATTTATCATTAGTCCTTCCGTTGATTGCGGGCTTCCCAGATTGGAGGAACAGCAAGGTGAGAAAAAATCGAGAGGGGGAATAGAAGAGTGATTCGTAGAGGTAAAAGAGACAGACACAAAGGTAGAGAAAAAAGGTAAGATAAGGTGAGTACTGTGAAACTGGCCGAATATGACATACAGTCGAGTGATGGTAGTTTGAAGTCAGAAGTCAACTGCCGGTTAATAGAAGGTAAGTCTATCGCACACCCTCAAAGCCTATTCCATGGAAATTCCTTATTAAGTTCAGGTAATTTGGACAGTTGGGATTTAATGTCCTTATTTCTAAAAGCTTTCCCAGGGTCAAGCACAATTAGCATGTCATATATAAAGTCCTCATAATTTGTATATAATTGGATGATCATTTGAGTTATTATTTAATCAGATTTGCACGTAATCACGATCACGATTGCTGTTTATAAGATTAATAGGTTTCCGTTAGTTCACTTACTTTGTATAAGTATTTTTCTTGCTCTATTAAAAGTAATATGGCCTTACTTTATCTTTTTCGCTTTTTGGAGATGCTCTTGGAACAGAGCGTACTTGAGGGACCTTGTGAATGTGGTTATTGGTTTCATTGGCTTCTAACACTTCAATGGATTTCTCAATACCACTTGCCATAGACGAGGTTATAAATGCCTGATGATATTCTGAACACACATTACCACTATTTCTCCATACTCTTCAAAAAAATCCACTCATATTTTTGCTTCGGCGTTTTCTACTCTTACTCCTTGCTTTCAGCGTATGCAAATCCCAAATAAAATCTGGATTATGCAAATTACCAGTCAAATTTGCGTTGTATTACTAAGAAGATTAGCCAGCTTAAGCCCCAGTTTATTGGATCTTTTATTAGTTACTTCAACAGGTTAAAGATGCCTTAAATTTAGTTTTAATTTCTTAAGTTATTCGAAACGATTTTTAAATTGGTTGAATATCAGCCTGATGATACTTCATTTCATCAATACCAAATATGTCTATGAATTGAAACATTTTTTAACTTCTAATGAACATGAACATAGTTTTATTTAAGTGTAATAATAGGAATGAATTCGAGATGTATGTTGCCATACAATTCCAGTCAGGATTTTAATTTTAATGCCAAACATCTCACAGATATCTAATGAACATTTTTATAGCATTTGTTACTACTTCTCAAAGCATACTTAACACACAATGATATAGGTTTAAATGTTCAATTTTGTATGTCAATTTGGAATCATCTTTTCCTCTCTTTTCTACTCATTACTTCAATTTTCTTGAGAAACACATATTTCTTCACTTTTCTACTCCATATACGCCTTAAATGATTGAGCCACTCCTAACATGAAAAAATAGGACTGGGTCCCATTTGTTATTGAATTACATGATCACATCCTCTATTGCGTGTCCAACACACTGGTGCTCTTTGTCCTTTCACTGGCCGCAACGCCTCTGGGCGTGTTAGTACAAACAGATTACTAAACACTCATTTGCCCATACCGTCAATGAATGCAATAACCAGTGTGACCAATTAGCCTTTTAATGAAGTGGCGTTAAAAGCGGATTGAGAATGATTATTCAAACTGACTATAGAAAAATGGCATTAAATTCCAATTTAAAGTATCTTCCGTTTCGTATCCCCATTTTGACATTTTGGCAAGCACCTTATACAGATATGTTTCTATTGTTTTGCAAAGATGGAATAAATCCTTTTTGCCTGTCTCTGTTACATCCGTGAATCGTTATTCTGTCCCCCCTCTCGACTTTTTGTCACTTTGGTGTTCCTCCTCCTCTCTGTGAAGCCCGAAGTCAGCTAAATGGCTAATGATAACTATCAAAACGCCTGCCATTTGAAATAAATAAATATCTAATCGAGCTGCCAGAAGGGTTATCAGTATGTTCTTCCATCCTTCGCAATTTCCACTTTATCCAAATAGCGTCCTACCGAAACACCTTGAATTGATGCTCAAACTCCAGCACGATTGAGCCAACCCTGTAGTCGCCTTTTAACACGTCATTTTAAGGTCTTCCACCCAAGCAGGTGCCGCAATTATTGTTATTCTCATATTGCAGTAATTAATTTTTACCTTTTATCCTTGCATTTATTGACCCTGTTCTTCCCCAATTTCTTTAAAGGGCTTGGATGCGCACAACTACAGGAATACACTTGACTGCGCTCGAAAAATTCTTAAAAACGAAGGTCCTTTAGCGTACGTTGATTTTGTCTATCTAGTATTTTATTAATCCACCACCACCACCACCAACTCTCTTTCTCTCTCTGTTTACTGATAAAGCGTACTTGCTTTAGATTTGAGATATCACAAGGAGTCACTCTAACCAAGTTTGTTCATGTGATGTCTAAAAAAGAACATTTGTGTGCATGTCATTGCTTTAGCACAAGAAAGGTGGTTTTAGCATTCTCTTCTCTACTTTGTGAAGGCTAAGCTGCTGAATGCAATGTGAGATTATTTTGCGGTCTCTGTGTTAGAGGGAGAAAAACATGGACATAAAACGGTCCTCTACATACTTGACATCGTTGACGGGCATATTTGCCCCAGTCCACTAGGCGAATCACGAGATTGGAGCTTTTAAATGCAAATATCGCATTAAAAATTATTAATCTTTTTTCCCCGCATTACTGTGAGCAATAATAGCAAAATTGTTTTAACGGTTGGAAAAGGTGATGATAGGAGAAAAATTCCGATTAAAATTATATAAATTTGATTTTATTGACGAGGTCTTGGCAGATTGTAAAAGCTCCCATAAAGCTAATTCACCACTGATAAAATGGTTCGATAAGGTTGGCTTAGTTTTAGTTTCCTCTATAATATTTCTATCTTTGTTAGGAAGTTATTTTAATTACCACTTCGCTGGGCAAACGATTCGACTCCCACACGCGCACACGTGAATATGAAAGACCACGTGTGGAATTGCCGTCGCTGTTAGTTATCGTCTAACCAGGCAGCCAATCACACAGCACCCATTTCAAGCCTATATGAGTGACTATAGTTCGTTAATAAAAGAAGGTCATTTGAGCTATAAGGTTTCTTCTTTCCACTTTTTTGAATCTACCTTAATACTGCCTTCATGAGGAGCAATTAGGAAGAAATAAAACGATGACTTCTGTTGCACAATTTAAGAGAGAGAGGAGAGAAGATCGATTACTAAAGTAACAGTTGCCTAAAAAAGAAATCCCACTTTCTTCTTCTGTTAACCTGAATACATAGAAAACGATTTTCTACGTGATTAACCAATAATCAAAACGATAAACGGTGCATTTTCATGCTTAAGGAAACTCAACAGCGATAATACTGATATACTCATGTTAGCACTCAGTATTCAGTTCGGTTTCCTCCTATCGGTAGATTGCTTCCTATCATTAGAACTTTATCAATTTATACTTTTTATTATCATTCTAAAGTACTAATCTTGAAATACAAGGCTGTATTTATGGGACTCTCTGTTAACAATTTTTTGCATAATTTGATATATTATGGATGGCTAAAATATTGTCTATTGTACGTACTCCAGATTTTACAAGGGAACGGTCCCTCGACTGGGTCGAGTATGTCTGGACGTCTGCATCTCCTTCATGATCTACGATTCATTCATGGAATACTTCGCCAAGGTGTGGCCAAGTCCTAAACCCAATGCATAAATTAAAATTAAATAATATCCCCTTATAATCCTTATACCGTTTCGGCGTTCCTGTTGCTCCCCTACATTCCTTGGTGTCGTATTTAGCTGCTGCAGCTACTACTAAGAACTTGTTGACGGGTTGTGATTTTAATCTTCTGGTTGTGGTTCCCCTCTTTATTTTTGTCACATCTGTATGCTTCAATAAAGATGTACTTACGGCACAAATAGTTTTTTTTTCTAAAATAGAAACATAAGCCATACATGAACTTAACTCGAAAAGAAAGAAAAGCAGTAATTGGTGTTAAATGCGTGAGATTTTAATTTGTTTGATTTGCACAATATCAAGTGGTGTGATAATTAGTTACAAAGTGTTCTTCCAATTATGACAATGGAGTCGAATAAAATTAAGCTAAAAACATCTAGGTTATAAGAAACAACCTAGATTAAAACAACTTAAGTTGTTGGTAGATTAAAATAACGTGAAATAGACTACATTTGTAACTTATCCCATATTTTATTCGTAATACATAAACAATAATGAACGAATATTATTTAATCGAATGATAAAAGGCCTCACAATCACTTTAAAATGAAAATAAGTGGAGTTTTCAGTTTTAGATAAACAGAAGCGATAATGAAAACAATGCACGTTCATGATCAGTTAACTATTATTCAGACAAGCACTTGGTATATACGCATTCGAGTTTGGTAGAACTTATCAAAGTGAAAAGATAAATCTTTTTGAGTGAAATTCGCTATCAATACGACGAACTATTTAAGATATGATAAGATTAAGAATTGCAAGAACCACTAATAAAAATTCTTACTAAAGGATCGAATTTCGTAAAACAAACGATTTGATTTTATTAAGATCAGCATATCTTCACCAAGCATAGTGGCGCAATTTTGCTGAGTTAATTAAAAAAATGGAGTTACTACTTTAACATAAATAAGTGAAGGAATGAAGCTATACGATTAAGAACCAAGTCTAGTGAAGAATGAATATCGTTATTAAATGGCAATCTTAGTCATTTTTATTTCGAAATCGTTGTTACCCTCAATTTATAATGGGTATCACATATGGAATTAGGTAATGAGGCTCAGTTGTTGAACAATTGGTCAACTCATGAAAGATACAAATAATATCTAATATTTAAACATTTAAATAATTAAAAAATCTAAAAATTCTTAATTAAACCGGATAAATAATTTAAATATGCATAATAATTATAAGTTATAAGTACATTTTGTTACTGTTAGCATATGTAATTGCGCTAAGGACAATTGCGTTGGTCTACTCTAGTAATGTAGGTTGTCATTTTATGTGTCATCTTCGTTATTTAGGAGTAAATTAGAATGTAGATATCACCCATATTCTATGCTAATTGAAGATGCACATGCAGGTGACATGGTGTGTTCTACATGCGGTCTGGTTGTCGCAGAGCGAGCTATTGACGTAGGGTCTGAATGGCGTACTTTTGCCAATGATGCCAACGCCAAAGACATGTCACGTGTCGGTGCCGCCGAAAATCCTCTCTTCAGTGGCAGTGACCTTTCTACAATGATTGGTTCTACCTCATACAACGATGCAAGACAGTTAGATGACCAGGGCCGACCATTATATCGTAATCGACGCAATGTTTCTGGTTCTGATCGTGCACTTATCACTGCTTTTAAGGAAATTGGTCAAATGGCAGAGCGGCTCAACCTCCCAAAGAGTATTTCTGTATGTTGATTCCTATTTTGAATGTTTTTCGGATTGGGTTACAATTGCTTGCTTAAATGTTTGGGTGAATTCCTAGGATCATGCCAACATGCTGTTCAAGCAAGTTCATGAGGCTAAAACACTGAGAGGTCGCAGTAACGAAGCCGTCTGCACTGCTTGTCTTTATATGGCTTGTCGACAAGAAGGTGTTCCGAGAACGTTTAAAGGTGATTTTTTCATCTATATTTTACATTTTAATCATTATGATTCCCTTCTCATGTCCATGCTTTTTTGCAGAGGTCTGTGCCGTTACACGAGTTTCAAAGAAGGATGTCGGAAAAGTGTTTAAGAAGATTGTGAAGGGAATGGAGACTGATATTGCTTCTGTATCTGTTGAGGATTTTATGACACGTTTCTGTGCCAATCTCAATCTGGACATTGCTGTTCAACAGTTGGCTAACACAGTGGCCAGACGAGCACTTAATCTCAACTTGGTATCCGGTAGAAGCCCTGTATCTGTAGCAGCCGCTGCTATCTATATGGCCGCTTTGGCTTTGGGCTGTCGAAAGGAAAAGAGAGGTAGGTTATATTAGATAAGTATTTCCATTATTTAGTTCTTCATTTTTTTCGTTAATCCATGTTGACTCGATTTACTTTTCCCACATTGGAGCTTCTAAGTTTTGTGTATTTACTTTCAATTGTTGCTAGTTGGCTTCTTTACTAATTAGTTATTGCTTTTCGATTATGTTTAGGCAGTCATATGGTTTATACTTATAATAATTATAATCAGTCCCTTCTTACTTGCAGAGTGGTATTTTAGACTGTTAAGTATATGGTTCTCCATCCCTGTTTTTATGGGTATTTCACGACTTCTTGTATAATATATTTAATTTCATATAACTTCCCACCCTTACCTTGAAAAGACTTTTCGCTGTTAAACGGTTATTTTACCCAAAACAATGTTAATTTTAGCATTTTTTATCATGGGACGACAGTTAAGCATCAAAGATTTCAAAATGGCCCGATTTGGTCTGAAGATCATGAATCAGACGAGTAGTATTAAATAAGTAATGCTGGGTATCCAGAGTATATTTGTACTTATTGAGTTGAATTTATAACAACATCATGCTACAATTAATATTTCTTCTTAAGTTCTTTAAGACCGTATCTTTATAGCAGAAACCGTAATAAGTTTTAATAGTCACACTGTGGGTTTTAATGATTATATGTTTTCTTATATCTTTATGGGATTACCTCTACAGAAGATACTTATGTGTAAATAATATTTCTCTCTGGAATGGTTCTCCTTAAAATCTTAACAATTTCTCTTTTCTTGCACTTTGATAACGTCTTACAAACAGCTGATTCCTTTAATCGATGTTGAGAGGTACTCGGCTGATTTAACCCCTTAAATCAATTCCATGTGAACAAGAAGATGCACTTGTGGTTCATTGTTATAATCTCTCAGAAGATGAGCATTTAGCTTTGACACTTTCAGTGTTTGTGAATCCGAATATTTATTTATTTATATCAAATGGCATGCGTCTTGATGGTTATCATTAGACCTTTAGTTGACTTCAGGCTTCACAGAGAGGAAGGAACATCGAAGGGAAAAAAGTCGAGAAGGGGGGGAAACAGAAGAGTGTTTCAAAGATGTAGGAGACAAACACAAAGGTAGAAAAAAAATGGTGAGGTGAGAACTGTGAAAATAGTCGAATATGGCATAGAGCGAGGTGATGGCGGTTTGAAGTGAGAAGTCAACTGCCAGTCAGTAGACTTTTTTGCCGTATGAGTATACGTTGCCCTGGGTGCACCACGTGGCGGTAAGTCTATCGCACACCCCGAATCCGAATATTCAAATGTTGATAATATTACTAATATTCGACAGGGTGTATAGGCAATTTTGACAGATTCTGAAATTGAAAGCAAATTGGTTAAAAGATCCTTTTGTGAGATTAAAGTTGAGTAGCTAGCTATTGCTATAACATATGAGAATGAAACATCGTTTTATTAAAGAACCGTATTTAGGTGAACATAAAGGGACGTCCAACCAGGAGCCAATTGAAAAGTTCACTTTTCCCGAAATATTTGAAAATTGTAACTATGCCACACCTATGTGGTGATATTTGTTTGGCTAATTATTGTAGATAATTGCCTTCATTAACCGTCAATCTGTGGAAACTTCATTGCTGCTAATTTTGCCTAAAACTTTCCAATCGAGTTAGTTTCCTTCTCCCTAAGTTGAGTAGCATTCCTTCGTTTCTATTTAATTTTGTAGAAACCAGGAGTAGTGTCATTTCCTTTTCTTAGGTTTTTTTGCCGCACGATTTGTTTTTTTTTCTGCGAATTTAGAATGACTTGGAGGACTCGATTTTGGCCGCGTATTTGTCTTCATGTTACCTAGGTCATTTGTATCGGGGTAAATTGTTACCGAGGCGTTCGTAATATATATATAGGTAAGAACTCATAAAGATGGCATTTACGTCACTGTCTATTGTACTGAACGGAAATACTTTCGAATGTATCCTTCGTTGTGCTATTTGATATGGCAGAAAAATTTTTACGCTTATTATGATCACGAAGGTAGAATTTGAACTCAAGCTTCGTATAAAAGTAACGCCTTATGCAAGCTGATTTGTTGTTAAGCTCATTATTGGATAAAGATGATAAGTTTTTATCCACTGATAAATTAGTTAACAATTTTTTGCCCCTTAAATTTTACCAATTGCAGAATCGTTGCCTTTTTCAGTTCTGCCTTAAAGCTTGCCATTAAGGCATTTTTTGTTTTTTGAGTTCATGGGTTTGTCTCTATTTTGTGTCTAATTAGATAACATCTCTTTTAAATATGCAATAAAGCCATTTTGGGCAAAGAGCATAAGTTCACACTCATTTTACTATTATTTCCATTTATTACACATGGCTTTGTTAGCTTTATGCTGTATTGATATATTTCATCATGTATAAGAGCTGACCAGACCACTTTGGGTAGCATTTGTACTATGACTTGAAACATTTATTTTAATCGTGATAATTTAATTACTTGTGTTTTTTCCTTTCGCAGAGATCGGTGACGTAGCAGGATGTGCTGAGGCGACAATCACATGTACCTACCGTGCAATGCTACCAAAAGCAGTCGAGCTCTTCCCGGATGATGTGCGCCTGACAGTTCGTCCGGAGAAGTTCCCTCCATAAGTGCTTTTGGAGTGGCGTAAATGGTTGTTGAATCTGTTCCCTCCCCCTCCCTCCCTCCATCCCTTCTTTTTTATCCATCCACTAACCATTTTGAGCAAATTCTATATTGGCATCAGGTGTACACATTCGAAGGCTCTCTCCATAGCATCTATCGTCTCTCCCGTCCTTGTCGAACATTGAACGCGAAAATTACGTCCGTTATAAGTTTTGCGAATATACTGACGTAGTTAACTCTTCGTTGTAATTGTTTTGATGATAAAAATTGTATTTTGTTTCGCGTCCCTTTGTACTTTAAACTCGGACTGCCTCTTCTTGTGAATGCTATTTTGCCAATATCTATGTACACCGCGTTCAAATGGAAATACTTGAATCAGGGGATTCGTAAGACTTATCTCTTCTCTCATTTTGAAGTTACTGTGTAACGTGTCGGAAAAATCGCACAGTCCGTGAATACACGTTTTGACTATGTCTCATTTTAAGACGCTGTAGTACGTTGCAGTTGTGTGGAAGGTAGAAATGTCTTATCATAATTAGATGGAGGTGTTATTGGTGCAGGCATGCAGAGAGTCTTTGTTCGTGTCCGGAAGCTGGGTTTCCGGAGGTCGATGTGTCAAGACAAGTTGTGACAGCTGTTACCTGCAAACACAGTCTTGACGCATAATGCTCGCGTCGGATGAAAGTACTTAAAGTAGATCAGAAATTCAAGGCAATTTAACTATATGAAGGTAAAAAGTGATTAGTTGCTATTGCGCCTCATGCAGGATATGGAGTACAAATATTGTGTGGAGTAAGACCTCCTCGCGACCGCACCAGGATGATACAATTGGCAATTAATTGATAAAAGGCGCATGGTGGGATAAGATGATCGATAAATCAAGGAAATACAGGGTTCTACAACTATTAATAATATTTTTATTTATTTATTTACATCAAATGGCAGGCGATTTGATAATTATCATTAGCCCTTTAGCTGGCTTCTGGCTTCACAGAGGGGAGGAATATCGAATTGATAAAAATTTGAGAGTGGAAGCAGAAGAGAGATTCAAAGATGTAAAAGAGACAGACAGACACAGAGGCAGAGAAAGGAGAAGTGAGTACTGTGAAAGTGGTAGAATATGACATACAGTGGGACCATTGTAGTTTAAAGTCAGAAGTCAACTACCGATTGATAGACATTTTTGCCGTATGGAAGTCAGAAGTCAACTACCGATTGATAGACATTTTTGCCGTATGAGTGTACTTTCCCCAGGGTAAGTCTATAGCACACCCCCTGTTAATAATATAATTATACTAACCCTACAAATGAACAATCTTAAAAGTCCAAATTAGAACATGGGCGGATTAGCCAGTTTGAAGAGTTGAAGTCAAGACTTCTCTTACACATAGTTCACCAAGAAGCAGTTAGGTTGAGTGTGAAGAGCAATTGATATTGAGTTAAAATCAATTCATTACTCGTGCTGTTTGACTGATTTTCTAAAGTTGAAAATATTTTCTGACCAAAAGTGCTCATGGAACTAAAATAACAAATAGAAAAACATATTGACTCAAATTTTGAAAGAGTTTCTTCAAAGGCGGACTTATTTTATAATTGGTTAAATGTATTGGAGAAATTGAGCCATCTCACTCCCTTCCCCATCCCCCTCCCTTCGGTCAAGTCGAAGCGCTCGATTGCCAATATATACGAGGGGCGAGGAAAGAGTTCTCGTCAACGTGGATCATATTCTTATTCTTATTCTCGTTTTGTGAGAGATTGAGGAATTTCTCGGTAAGAGAAGGAAACCAGAGAAGCGTGAAATGAAATTTAGATAGAATGATTTGTATAAACACTATCAACACATCGAATTCGTTCAGATCAAACGGAAGGCATTTTCTGAGTGCATTAACTTTAATTTTCATAAATGCAATGTTAGGGTAGAAAATAATCGAATGCGTAATATTTGGTTATGTTAATCTACTACTGAAATGTTAAATAGTAATTTATAGGGTACACCAATGATGTGAGACGACAGTTTATTATTAAGTTATTCAAGGAAATGTTAAAAAAATAAATACCTGTACAAATTGATTCAATTTTATTCCTCAACAATAACGTTGAGAAAAGATTGATTCAAAATGAGGATGTAGTATGAGCATGGGACTATTATAAATTACGTTTTAATATGTCTTTTTTGCAGTATCTACAGCATAGATTTTCAAACTGAAATCTTGATTTGATTGAGATACGATCATCACATAAACATTTTGTTGATTACCCTATTAAAACATACACTATATTTGCATCGATATCCTTTTACTTAAGGAAAATGTGTCTTAATTAATAATATTAACTTAGGATATTAAGAATCTGAAGTATCCCTGATAGAAGAATTTGGGCTGCAAATATCACATTATTGTACGTTTAAATGGGGATAGACACACAGGTGATTAAGCATATCACCGCTGCGGACTTGTTGTTGTAGAAAGGCGTTTGATGTTCCCAAGACTATCGAACAGTGTCAAAGCAGGCTAAGTGTTGGAATAGCTGAAAGTTCATACCTTCGTGGTGCCTACCTTCAAAAAATTGTCCAAATAGATATTTCAATATAAACGAATTCGATGAAATTAAACAGAGAGTTTGTAGAGAAGAGGGGAGCATTTGCCTGTAGGCGTTTTAGCAAGATGTGTCTTTTAGATAATTTTATTCCTTCTTCAATGAATGACAAAGGTGAACTGAGAAATTGTGACCATAGGTGGCATTATATCGCTTCTCTATCCCCTTCCTGGTGAGCAGTGCAATTTCCACGTTCCTATGAAGGCAATTGTAAATATTATTCTTGTTTAAAAAAAGCCAATACAACACGTAAAAACTTGAAATTCGTGTGTAGGAGTATCCTTTTAAAATTTTTATGAATTTAGAAGTTCT